CTGAGCACAAGTTAACACCTTGCATTTCGGCGCTGAATGGAAAGAGACTTGGCAAACCCCCCGGGTGTGTGTGTGTGTGTGTCGAGGTTGGAGTTCTGTGCCTAGTATTAAACTCAGCGGGACTTGCTTCCGAGTACATCGGGTCGCGTCCAGAGGCTCGACCAGTCTAATATCAGCCTAGGGCACCAAGCATGCGGAGGTTCCCAAAGCCGGGCGCGCCAGGAGAGCCACCAGCCGCCGGGCGTCCCTCACCGGCCAAGGCTCCGTCGGGGCGCCGATCGGCTCCGCCCTTTTCGGCTCCGAAGGGCTGAAGAAGCCCCAAGGCTAGACAAGCGCGCCGCGGGCCGGGTTGGGGCAGCCGCCGCGAGATGGCAGACCCGGGAGACGGGGAGCGTCCCGCGCCAGTCCCGGAGGAGGCCGGTCCCTCGCCGAGGGCCGGGGGAGGGCCCGACGCCCAGGGGAGTCCCGCTTCCATCCATCCCTCGTTCTGGCCGCTCTGGAAAGCCCTCCAAGGCAAGCCTGGGAGGGACAGGGAAAGTTTCTTTTGGTTGGGACTCTTAGCAGGAATAAATTACCTGCGGTGAAGTCAGCTCCGATTCCCCTCGCCCTTTCCAGAGTTTCCCAGGTAGAGAGTACTCAAGGGTGGCTTTCAGTGCCCTTCTTCTGGGGGGTAACTGAACTCGACCCTGTGGAACTCAGTGAGACTTAAGATGGCAAGTCATGCTGGGTCTAATCAAAGGACTACCTAACCCAGTATTCTGTTCACATAGCAAACCGACTAGTTGCTCAGAAGCAAGGCATGAGTGCAACTGCATTCCCCCAGCCGCTGATAGCAAACCATTCTCTCTGTGTTCCTGGAGGGGCTGTATGTTCATTACGACTAGTAGCCAGAGATAAGGCCGTCTTCCCTGAATGTGTCCCCATTTTAAAGTTTCCTGGGTTGCCAGCCATTACTACCTGTTGTGGGAACAAATTCCTCCATGTGTCACAAGGAAAAGTACTAGTGTTTGTGTTGACACTTCCAATATTTAACTTAGATGGATGACCCCAGGTTCTTCTAGTGTTAGGAGAGAAGGAGATCCTCCTGGCCTAACACCCTGTGCATAGCTTTATGCACTTCTATCATGTGTCCCAATCCCAGCCGAGCTTGTCCACCAGCAACCTTTTTACCATTATAGGTTTTACCTCTGCAGGTCCTGAGGCTGCCAAAGGATTCCCCAGGACAAAAGGGAGCTGTCAGGAGCCTCCCAAACTGAAAAGGGGAAATGGCAAGCTTTCTGTTGGTTTAAAATAAATATTTCTACTACTGGATCCAGGTTACACTGGCATCAATTTATGCAACAGGATGTTGCTCGTTTTGTTTCAGGTGTCATTACTAAAACTGCAGGCAGTGTTTTAAGTCTCATCATGTAAGAACTGCCAATATCATACTGTAGTTTTATATTTAATTCATTTTCCAATTATACTCATCATGTTGGAATTCGCCTGTTTTTTTGTTTTTTACAGAAACCACGCACACTGGGTCATCATTTCCATTCTACAGTTCACCAGCCCAAGATCCCTTTTTTCACCCTTCACTTCCAGCTCAGTTCCCATCAGTGTGGATATTATATATTGGGATTATTTATTCTGACTGGCTCAATGGTTTAAGTATCTGCCTGCTGAGCCAGAGATTGAGAGTTTAATTCCCCACTGTGCCACCTGCAAGTAGAGCCAGCCGGCATGACTTTGGGTCACAGGCCCAGAAGTACCCTGAGAACAAGGGAACAGCAAACCGCTTCTGGATATTTTCTATCTGGAAAACCTTGGAAAAGGTTGCCATAGGTCAGAATTGATTTAATGGCACATTATTCATTCATTCATTCATTCATTCATTCATTCTTTACACTTGCTTCCACTGAATCTTGTTTGCCTTTTCAGCACCCATTCCTTAGGTTTGGAGGTAATCTTTCCAAGTTCTTTGCAACCCATTTTTAAAAAAACATCCTGATCAGTTTGTTGTATTTGACCAGATCTCTAGTTACTCTTAATTCCAGATCATTTATGAAGAAATGAAAAAGCACTGGTCCAATCAAAGATCCCTATGGAAACCCAGTGTGCATATCCCTACATTACAATAACTGATCATGTAGTCCTCCACTGATTCCTGTCTTATGTTCATTTTCTAATCTGTAAAATTACTTCTTTATTAACTGCTGCTAAATTTAATACTAACCTCTGAGCTTATGTGCATAGAATTACATTGTCACTGTAATTGTGACCACTGCAGGTCTTCCAGACCCTAAATTAGTTATACAGTGGTGCCCTGCTAGATGATTACCTCGCAAAACAATGTTTCCTATGGGTGATTTTCACTGGATGATGTTTCAGTCCATGTTTCGCAAGATTTTTTTTTTCGGGACCAATGCTTTGCAAGACGTGCAAGATTTTTTTTTGGGGACCAATGCTTTGCAAGACGACGAGTTTAACAGCTGATTGGCGCTTCGCAAAACGGCTTCCCTGTGGGCGATCTTCACAAAATGATGACAGTTTCCCCCCATTGGAACGCATTAAACGGGTTTCAATGCATTCCAATGGGGAATCGCATTTCACAAGACGATGTTTTCACAAGACAGCGATTTCAGTGGAACAGATTTACATCATCTTGCGGGGCACCACTGTAGATAAAGCAAATGCAGTCGTTGCGTTCATCGTCTGAAATTCAGTAGTAAACGTATTTTACTGTTTTCTGATTGTATTGTTTATTTTTATTTTATTATTTTTATCTTCTATTCTGTTGAATTGGTATTTTAATTATGCTGCTGCTGTAATTTTGTTGTAAACCACCCAGAATAGCCCTTGGCCAGATGAGCAGCATAAAAATGAATGAATGAATGAATGAATGAATGAATGAATAATAAGTCGCAACTAAAGAAGGACCATTGAATCAGTGGGAATTTGGTCAGTCAGCTCTCCTGTAAGTTCCATTGATTCAGTGGGCTTTCTATACTTGCAACTTACTGCTGGATTTTAGCTGTTGAAGTAGAGCAGAATTGTGCGGGGCTATTGAGGGTTTTCTGAGGAGCTGTTACCATCCTCCTGAGGCTTCTCCTAACCTTCCTCATTCATAGGGCTTGCGACGACTCTTTGGAGCCCTGCAGAAAATGGGAAAGAGGGTATTCCAGTAGCAGGCATTTTCAGACTTCACGTTCTTCAGGCTAGCAACTGGAAGGCACTAATTAGAGTGCAACCACTCAATCTCTTCTCCAGTAATGGATTTTCTGTGGTAAAAAGAAAAAAGAAAGAGGTGGAAGAACAGAGTTTTAAGTGAAGGGTTTACTGACTACAATGCAGTGGTGTGATAGAAATCTCATCTAAAATGGCTCTGAATCGCCTATGTTATTAACACTTTTGTTTTTCAGGAGCAAATGCTATAAACTCCCTGATCTATTGTTATTTATTTATTTTGTTTTGTTTGTTTTCATTGGAAAAGTAGTGTTCAAGATAGCTAATAACGTTGCTAGGTGTTTCTTTTTTTTTCTTATCAGTGGTGCTAATTGTTAGAATGAAAATCATCCTTGAAATTAAACAAAAATGAGCTGATAAAATATTCACAGTCTTAAGAAGAGAGAAAAATATCCTTCGGGATAATAAACTTCTACTGTGGATGGTTAAAAGCCCATTCACTGCAGATATTACAGTACTGTAACTTTGCAGCTGTATTTTAGAATTCCAGTACAATGTAGTGTCCATGGTTAATCATCAATTTGTGCATAAAAGAAATAGGTAAATAAAAGTAGAGTGAGAGTAGGATGTCTAAAGTTATGAGGATTTCAGTAACAGGATGCAAATCAAACTGAAAATGATTGGATTTTTTAAAGGCTGCAAAATGTGAAACCCACAACTCATATTTATATATGAGGTAATAACTCAAGACATTCTTGTTGTGATTGCCTGCTCTTATTTTACATAAGCAAACTGAGAATATAACCAGAGAATATTTCAGCTTGTTACAAACCATTTCTTCTGGAAGAAGGCAACGTCCACTTTAAACTCTGGAATCTAAACATAAATATTTCCTTTGTAAAAGCCAGATGGTTTAAGGGGAAACTTATATTCCTATTGGTTCCTTTTTGTCTCCGTGATAAGGCGTTTTTGGAATGTTATCTGAGACCCCCATGTTCTGTAGTTCCTTCCCACTTCTTTCAAACTGCCCTGGCCCTTTCTGATAATGCTTGTATTTTTTCTGCCCAAGCATATGTGGATAGATAAATAAAATTGACTGGCTACATCTGAAATTCAATGCCATAGCTGAAAAAGCACCAATTCATATTACTGTTAATTGTTTTTTGCTTATGTTGTTCAGTTTTAAAATTCATAAACTGAAATATGTGAATCAGGGTTGACACAAGAAAAGGGCTACTATTTTACAGATTTTTATCCCACCAGATTAATTTTTGCTAATTGTAAATATGTACAATATAATTATCCTATCCCATATTACAATATTTCCCTAGAATGGTGTATATTATTATTTATTAAATACTAAATTATTTGTTCTTTAGCCTCAAAGGCTCTTGTTGTTGTTGTTGTTTAGTCATTAAGTCATGTCCAACTCTTCGTGACTCCATGGACCAGAGCACCCCAGGCCCTCCTGCCTGTAGAAACTCTCCTGGAGTTTGGTCAAATTCATGTTGGTAGCTTTGATGATACTGTCCAACCATCTCGTCCTCTGTCATCCCCTTCTCCTCTTGCCTTCACAATTTCCCAACATCAGGGTCTTTTCCAGGGAATCGTCTATTCTCATGAGATGGCCAAAGTATTTGCTCTATCCTTCCAGTGAGCACTCAGTGTTGATTTCCTTCAAATTGGATAGGTTTGTTCTCCTTGCAGTCCAGGGGACTCTCAAGAGCCTCCTCCAGCACCACAATTCAAAGGCATCAATTCTTTGGCAGTCAGCTTTCTTTATGGTCCAGCTCTCACTTCCATACATCACTACTGGAAAAAACATAGCTTTGACTATGCGGACCTTTGTCGACAAGGTGATTTGTAGCGCCTAGCTAATCGGTGTTTTATAATTAATTGGAAATGTGGGTCAATAATATTAGATTCAATATTGGAGAACATCTGAAATTCAAACAATTTGAATTGACCAAGGATTTGAAGAGAATAGCCATGTATCTTTTATTAAGGACAACATATAAATTGCAGTTCATGAAATTTAAATCTGTATTCAAAGATTGGTTAGGTGAAGTACCATTTGGCTTTTCAGCTATTAAACCTGAAAGGTTGTAGGCCTATCCTGGGTCTACGAAAATATATACTGTATAGGCCTACAACCTTTCAGTCCTTATAGTGGAAAAGGCAAAATAGTTCTTTAACCAATCTTTGAATATAAACTAAAATTTTATGAATTGCAATTTTCTACCTTTCTTTATTGGCCAGATCTGGTGCTTGAAAGAGCCTGATTTTCTTGCCCAGTTATAAGGCTGGCTGTGGATATGTCTAGGATAGTTTGAAACTGGGAGCTGTTTTAAAAGAACAGTTTGAAGTCACCCTGTCTAAAAGAAATATATCAAGCACTGTACTGTAGTTGGATTGGCATGTATGCAGATAGCAAGCTGGAGATCGTCTGCTCAGAAGTAAATCCAAGTTGATTTATTGCTGGGTAAATTTATTGCTGAGAATAGGATTGCAGCTGAATTGTCTTCTGACAAACAGGAAAAGGAGCAAGAATTTTATTTATTTATTTATTTGATCTTTATACCACCCATCTGACTGCCAAGGCCACTCTGGGCAGTTTACAAAATAGTAATATAACAATAATGTAAAAAACAGAAATAATCAGTAACAATCAAGCAAAATATAAGAGCTTCTAAAACAAATTATACGAAGAAATAACATAATAAAATGTGCCTCGGTGATTCTTTTGAATGTTATAGAAATGGTTTCAGGTGTGTCCTGACTCCAAACAGCTAGTTTGTAGGGAGGGGTTAGGATGAGGTGGAGAAGCTACACCGGGGGAGTGTTACCTCCTAGATCTAGTTGACAGTTATCATTGTGAGAAAGCTACGTGGGTGTAAATCTTATGCTGTTGTTAGGCTGGAATCTTCTGTGAGGTTTTGGGGTCAGGTCTCTTATCTGTACTAGTCTTAAGAATGTGACCGCACAGCAGGAGAAATATGAGTTGATCTGCTGTAATTTGCACCCATGGAAATCAGGATTCCCCGGTTGAAACTGCTGTTTTGTCCAGATTTGCAGATGCAGAAAGCTCGGTTTACATGGAACTCCATGAATAAAATCTGCTGTAACGAGGTACAGTGGTGCCATGGCTTACAAACTTATGGTAATCCGTCCCAGAAGATGTTTGTAAGTCAAAATGTTTGTAAGTCAGATCACCATTTCCCATAGTGATGCATTGAAACCCAATTAATCCATTCCGGCTGTTTTTTGTTCTTATGTCGAGGCACAGTTTGTAAGTCGAAGCATTCGTTCCCATACGAACTAATGCAAAACCGGTTAATCTGTCCTCTACCACTAGGGGGAGAATTTTTATTCTTTTAAGATGAATTTAGGTTAAAAAAGGGTCAGGAAAGGAGGGAGGGAGGGAACAATGGGGAAAAGAGGAAAGAAGGTCACCACTGGGCACACAGACCCGTCAGGCAAAGGTTTATGCTTTTAAGCACAAAAAGAGAGAAGACAATGTGTGTGTGGGGGGGGAGAGTTTGGAGTCTAAAACACATTTTAAACCCACACATGCTAAACCCACACATTTTACAACAACACATTTTAAACCAAGCAACCAAAAGACTAGAATGCATTTTAGAGCTCAACAGCCAGACAGACCTTTGCAAAGTTTTCTGATTTTAAAACCAAAAGCCAGCACAGAAACATAACCCCACCACCACTTAGCCACCTAGCCCAACCCCAAGCAGCAAAACCCCTGTACAGTAAATACAGTGTACTCACCGAGCACAGGCAGTCTATGTTTTAAAAAAGAAAGTCAAAAATCCAAAAAGAAAAAGAAAAAATACAGTCAGTACAGTACCAGGCAGTAGGCAGTCTGAAGTCTCGTTCCGTATCCACACTCTCTAACCGCTGAGGTGAGCGAGGTAGCAGACAAGCAGCTTCTCCGCTGACCAACAGTTAACTGAAAGTTCATATTTCCTGCCTTCCCCGCGTTTTTTTCTGTTCGTAAGTCAAAGTTCCATTCTCAAGTCAAAGCAAAATTTTGCGAACGGAGCTGTTCGTAACTCGAAATGTTTGTAGGTTAGGGTGTTCGTAAGTCAAGGCACCACTGTACTAACAAGTGCTGATTCGTAATTTCCACTTCTCTCTCCTGGTTTCCTAAGTGCTCTAGCAGAAGCCTGTTCCAGGGCTGAGTTGAAACCAACCAACCAACAAATAAATCATTGAGGGAAATTGATCCCTCCATTAATGTTGCTTTGATTTGGATCAGGTGGTCACATTGGTAGAAAATGGACAAAGGTTATGTCAGAAGGATCGCCATAAATTTCAACCACCCCTGCCGGCTGAACCAAAAAAGACTGTTTCTCGCTTCAGAAAGACAATTAATTTTACAATGGTCTTCACTCACATTGAGATTTATGTTGTGTAGTCAGTGGGTTTTAATTCAAATTTGTCAGTGTTGAGTCTGACATAAATTGTGAGGTAAATGGCCAATGTATCTGCCCCCTAAAGCTGGTGTGGATATTTTCTAATGGAACAAAAGGGGGGGAAGGGTTTTTGAAAATCAACAGTGTAAGAAATAGAAATATAGTAAGTTTGCAAGCCTTCTCTGACCTATACCTAGTCACCAGAATTAACGTTTTGATTACTATGGCAACCATATTTATGGACTTTTAAAAAACGGATTCAAACTTACTGATTTTCTGCCTGTCTTTAAAGGAGCATCAATTGAGATTGAGAATTTACTCCCACAATTTTTAACGTCTGTGAGAAGTGTCAGTGTTTGAGTTCTGGTAAGGAGCGTTAAAATTTCAGCACATCGCTGAGAAATATTTTGAGGACCTGAGTCAACTTCCACTGACTAAAGCAACAACCCCTTTCCATCCAGTACTAACAAGCCTAGAAGTTTCTTTTGTGATTCCTGTCACTGTACAGAAGGGATGCCAGAAAATTTCCCTCGTTCATTAATTGTCCTGTTTTCCTGCTAGGGGCTATAAAAGGATGAAACAGCAAATACAGTAACTGTAACAAAACATCACCAGTGCTGCTATAGTAGTTCAACAACAAAAGCTGTCTGTTCTTAATCCATAAAAAGAGCTGGATGTTAATAGTTAATTAATAGTAAATGTGTGTTGGTGGTTAAATGAACAGTCGGCAAATAAACTGATTATGGATTTTGTTCACTTGTTCAGTTCAGCCACGAAGGTGAAGACAAGCTCTCAGTGTGCAGCAAATTGTGCTATGGCGTTGGAGGGGCGCCAAACCAGGTTGCCGGCAGTGCCACCTCATTCTTTCTGCAGATCTATCTCTTAGATATAGCTCAGGTAAGTAGTTTGGGAAGCTTGAGCATGGACTCCAGAAAAATCAATAAATGCCATTTTAATTCGCTTTAACTGGATGTTCATCTAATTCGGCTTGCTTATATTGCTCATTGGTAACACTGGCTGAAGTCTTATTGCTTACCATAGTAAGTCATATTAGAGTAAGCCCATTTAACGCTGTGGGTTAAACCGCTGAAGCCTCTGTGCTGCAAGGTCAGAAGACCTGCAGTTGTAAGATCAAATCCACGCGACGGAGTGAGCCCCTGTTGCTTGTCTGAGCTCCTGCCAACCTAGCAGTGCGAAAGCATGCAAAATGCGAGTAGATAAATAGGTACCACCTCCGTGGGAAGGTAAACAGCATTCCATGTCTAGTCACGCTGGTCACGTGACCACGGAGGATTGTCTTCGGACAAATGCTAGCTCTATGGGTTGGAGAGGGAGATGAGCACCGCCCCCTAGAGTTGGACACACGTGGACAAATTGTCAAGGGGAACCTTTACCTTTATTGGATCTACAGGGATTCTCCTATGTTAGTGCCATCGATTGAAATGGGCCTACTCTAGTTGCAGCTCACTATACTAAAGTAAGTCTCAGTTAAAGTAAGCCCATTTGAATCAGTGGGACTTGAGGAAGAATTGACTCACCAAATGCCTATTGATTCAGTGGGCCTACTTTAGTGTGACTTACTAGACAAAGCAACAGGATTTAATTTTTTATTAAATTATTTATAATTTATTTATAACAGGCAGGAGCTAGCAAGAAAACAGTTAGAAGGACATTTTTGTCCCACATCTCCCAAAGAACTGTGCATTAGAGGGGAGGGAGAAAAGATTAGAGAAAGTTTCCTGTGACAGGATGCACAAGCCTTTACAGAACTTAATGTCACTGAAAATTGCATGAAAACACAGGAAGAGGTAGGTTTTAGTTCACATTTGGCATTCTTTGCTCTCGAAATGTATTACATTGCCTTTTGTTTCACTGTCACCTAATGGAAAACCTGAAAACTGTCACAGCATAGCTGAAGGTTTGCGGTGCTGTTTTATATGCTAGTGTGTTTCTAACAGATGACTGACAATTTGACAGTGTGAAGATTGTATCCAGTATGTACTTGCTGAAACTTCCATCTAATCTTTCTTAAAAGGCAACCAAGGCAGCTTTCCACACTCAGACCGGTGTAGAACATATCATAAAACTGTCTATCAACACAATATCTTTACAGCAACAGAGCACAGAAAAACAACAACAAACCATTCATATGGTGGAATATGTTTGGAAAAGTTTGTTTTGTAGTGTTTAGTTCTTTCAGCACGTATGGCTCACTTCAGGAGTTTGTTCTTTTTTGTTTTCCAGATTCCCTCATTTCATGTGTCTTGGGTGCTTTTCATTGGGAAAGTATTGGGAGCTGCTGCTGATCCTCTTGCATGCTTTCTTATTAATAAAAGCCAGCGGACTAAAATTGGCCAACTCATGCCTTGGTAAGCAGGCCAGAAGTTTGGTTCCATTTCATATTTGCTGATGATTTTTGTTTGTATTCAGCTTATCTGCCAAGTTGCTAATCAATAATTTATGATGTTTCGGAAAAATCTCCCTTTACATAAATAAAATTCTCAATTATAAATCAAACGGCTGTAGAAAGAGCATTTCACACTTGAGCACAAACAGAAACAAGGGTCGTGAGATCTGAATCCAACACAAGAGATGGGGAACAGATAGATACTGCAATTAAAATGAGTTTGAACTGCTAATCAAGTTAATATACACATTTTCAGCACATTAGTTTCTTGGAATTCATACTGTAGTATGTCTACACTACACAGCTATGACAGGTTGATACCACCGTCCTGGGGAAAACTGGGATTTGGAAAGTTAATGTAGAATTCTATGCTAAAGAGCTCTCCTTCATACCCTTGAATTACAGCAAAGGTCTCTAAATGCCTCAAAAGGCCAAGCTTCTGTGGAACCACAGTAATTAAAGTGGTGTCAGATTTCTCTAGCGGTCTGGTTTAGATACATTTGTTGGCTGGTTGATTTGATTTATATACCACCTTTTCCATAAAACTAAATTTATTCACGGATGGTGTAATAGTAGAAAATGTTCAAAAAAGCAAACATTAGCAGAAGGATTCTGTATGTTTTTGCTGACACAATGGGAATTAAAAATAAAGACTTTCTATAAGGAAAAAAAACATTTAATGGCGACTGAAAGATAAATGTGGTGCCAAAGGCAGAAAATCATCCAGAAGAGATTTGGGGTTCAGCCTCTTTTTAACACAGCTGGACAATTTGCGGGGGCTTCAGATATTGTTGGGCTGAAGCTCTTCTCAGCCCTAACTGGCATAGTCAGTGGAGATGGATGAGGTGAGTTGTAATTTTAAAAACACATCTGGATTGCTGCTGTTGCTGACCCTTTATAGAACAGCTCCATAACTCCATATTCTTTATAGGTGCTTTAACTAGAGTAACTGATATTAAATATGGAAAATAGTTGCTGAGAGCCAAATCTTAAATTTGATGGCAAGTGCTCAATAACATATCTGTGAGGGTTCGACATTAGGGGCTTCTGTCACACCTAATAAAGATTGAGACGGTTTTAACTCTTCAACATTGTCTTCATTTATTAACAGTTCAACATTAACAGCAAACTCTTTCTGAACTGGGTTTAGGGTCTCTTGCCGTCTGAACTTCGACTGCAAGGGTGTCCAAGCGTTAGCAACAAAAGGGTTTGTTTCATCAAAGTCCCACGGTCCAGATAATATCTTCTCTGTGACCAGTGGCTCTCCTTCTTCTCTCTCAGGACCTAGAAGCGGTAGGGTCTCTTCATCTCCGCTCCACCCCCAGAATGGGGAACCCTCTCCTGGACTGGCCAGCCACGGTCCGGGTAGACTCCCATCTTCTGGAGCTCTGCAAGATGCCATGCTTTCTTGGTCTCGCCACGGCCTCTCACTCCTCTGTTAGATGCCACCACCACTCCTTCGCCTCGGTCTCACCCCAATAAGAAGGGCGAGGTTGTAACCCTTGTCGTCTGCGTCGTTCGGCCTCTTCATGAGGTACCTTAACCTGCTCCCATTTCCCTGTCCAGGGATCCTGGACCCATATCATCTCCCAACCGCCCGGGATGTCCTCCCGCCTTTTCCTTATATCTCCTACCCCTGCCTCTATGGAACCTCTCCCTTTTCCCGCCAAATCTCCCCCAGCCGATGCCAACATGCTTAACCTTTTCATTTCTGGTTTCAAACCCCTTGGTGTTTCTGACCCTTCTCTTAACTCTTCCAATTCTTTGTTGTTCACCTCCTTGCTTTCCTTTCTAGGCGGAGAGGGTGGGGGAGAAGTCTGGGTCTCCTTAGATTGAGATCGGAGCGATGGCACTCCTACATAAGCTTCCTGCCCCTGGCTGGGGGGTCTTACAATATCTCAGTCACCAGATGGCTGCTGGGAAAAAAATTACCTGTAGTTTTGTTAGGAGAGGCTGGACCCAGTGAAGGAAGACCGTGTAATTTCAGGCCATGTGGGATGGGGTATTCTGGGAGTTGTAGATGAAGAGAACAACCTTCCAGCCTCCAAATAATTTGAATCTTAGCTTGCCATAAGCCTTGTCTGGTCTGCGCGTAATTTGAAGGCACAGTACAGAAATGGGTCTTGGACAGAGAAGGACAACTTTTTGACTCATAGGCCCTTTTATGGCCATAGCATGTCATTTTACAAATGGATTTACATCCCCATCTATTCATTGGCTTATATATAGTGTTTGAATTGCAGCCCTCTTCGTTGGTGGACGTGCAATTCTGCCCCCTCCCTCAATTAAAATGACCTTGGACTGGGAGGTAAGAGACCTTCCTGACATCACATGATCCCACTGCAAAGAAAACATTTTTCTTCTCTCAAAAGAGGCTGACACTCAGTTCCTGTCGCAGTGTTTCCATGTGACTGTATCATCTGCAAATGCTAGTCTTCACTGGAAAAGGAAGAGTGTGGTTGGCCAGCTGTATGTTGGATAGATCCTTGTGCAACTTGACCACCATTAGCACTTGACTATGTTGCCTCTTGGCCACATATGGTCTTACCAGCCGCTTCCAGTGTAGATAAATTGTACCAGCCAACTGTGGTTATTATTTGAATCAGCCTTTTATCTCCTAGAGGAGATGTATGTTTAAAACAAAGCTTTCCATTCTAACTGTAATCCTGGAGAGGGGGGAAAATCTACAACAGTTTGCTTTCTGTATCTTAAACTAGGAGCAAACAGGTTACAAGATGGTGGGGTAAGATGGATTCGTGTTATCAACAGCATCTCTGGGGAAGACCTTTGTGGAACCAAATGTTTACTAAAGATAACTGCACTAAATTTGTCTCTGCAAGGACAGATCACCAGAGTGGAAACATACAATTTCCCCCCCTAAGGCTCTGATAAGAAGTGGGTTTTCATAGGTTGATAGTCTCCTACTTTACTCCCAAGTTTAAGGAGAAGAAAAGGGGAGATTCTCCCCCTTTTCCCATTTAACTTTGTATGTTTCAGTTAGAAGCCTTTCTTGTCGTACAGGAAACATATCTCAGAATTGGAAAAAAATGTCATAAATGTCCACTGCAGAGAATAGCAATGTCTCAAGCATAAATTTTGCTAGACTCCATTGAGGCTTCTGAACTATGAAGCCTCAGTGGAGTCTAGCAAAAACTGGGTAAACTCTTCAAGGGTATTGTATAATTTTCTGTTTTTAGAACCATATTTGCGCTTTCATTCATATGGAAGGAAGCATTGTGGATTCCCAATGTAATGGATAGAGTGATGTACTAGGACTCTGGAGAGCAAGGTTCATGAGTCTTAATAGGAACCAAGATGACTTGACTTTACCTTTCTTTCACCAGCACCCCAAATATATTGAATAAAATGTGTGGTTTTAAAGTTTGGGATTGTGTGGGTGGGACAGCAGTCAGTCTGTGCCAGACCTGGATCTAAAAGGCAGAGCTGCAGCTAGCTACTTTTGTGCCTAAACCAAGTATATAGTATTATGCCCTATTCTTTCACAGTTGTTATTTTGGTTAATGGGTAAGTGTAAGTAGACGAATAACAACAAGCGAGAATAATAATAGCACAACATTAATTTTCTAATGAGATCTGCATATATAATCCAATGCATAAGCAAATATTTAATGTACTACTTAAAAAATATTTTTAAAAGATTTTCATTTCTTCGGTCATTTTACATAGTGGCTGCTATAGTACTGCATATGCTCCTTTAAAATGGTAAATGTATGAAATTTGTTGAATGATAAACAAAATTAACCTGGTTTTTTTTTTGGGGGGGGTAGTCTGCTTGCTGCCACAGAACCAGGAATATTATGACAAGTCCCCCAGCAGTGTTGACTTGAACAATCTTATCTGTCTCTATTTCAAACATCCTCCTGTGTCAACCAACTATTCTCAGAAGAGTTGAAAGATTGGGGGAACAGGCAGCACCAAACTACAAACATATATGTGACCACATAACATTTGAAATTTGCAACACTTGGTTCAGTTAGAATGTATAAGCTCTATTCCTGCCTGGGTAAGTTCACCATGTCGAGAAGGGAGCAGCAGACCCCTCGCCAAGATTCTTACTTCTCTGTAGTTCCTACATGTGAGGAGGGACATCTCCCATGTGGTCTTGTTGCTTTATGCTTTATTTCCATGTGTGGGAAGCAACAGTGGAGGATGGAATAGCTCAGTTGTTCCCCTCTAAGCTTGGTGAGTTTATCCAGATAAGGAGCAACTGAACAGGGAGATACAGATTTGCATCCTTTGCTTTGTGTCTCTTGGCAAGTGCCTCAGTCTTAGAACTGCAGAGCTGGAAAGGATCCAGTGGATCATCATGTCCAGCCCCTGTCAAGGAGGCACAGTGGAGAATCCAGTTCCCAACCACTGGCTCCACAGCCAGATGCCTAAAACATTGAGCCTGTCCAGCAGTTGCCTCGCTATACCCACATTAGGGCTCTGTTGAAAGCTACAGAGAACTGGTTTTGCTCCCTTTGAGTTTCCTTATATATCTAATGGGGAAACATCTCTGTGGAACTCTTGATGCCAAGAACTGTAGTCTTTAATCTCCCTGTGCATATGTGTAAATAAAACTTGTATTATATTGTAGATCCGTATGTCTTCAGTGACCTCTTTCTAAGTAACCGGAATCCTGGGCGAGCTGTTGGAACCCCTAAAACTTCTTTCTACTCACAACTGGGATGGGCTCACTTGACACGATTCTCTTCAGGCTTTGGGCCAAAACACAGTTGTTTCAGACTCCGGGTCCAGTTGCGTTGTTCAGCCTTTCTAGACTTAGCTGTTCTGTTGTTGCTGCCTCCATGATTAACATTAATCTGTTGTTGTTGGTTTGTTATTATACTGCACGTGAAATATCGGAGTATAACAGGTGCTCAATTGTCCCATGTGAAACGTGTGTCTCCCCACGTGAACTGATGTTCCAGGCAGTATAACATGCAAGGGATACACTAATGCTGTGCAGCCCTAGTGGGGTGGTTCACATGACCTCTGCAGAACATCAGAATACGGTGGGGTGAGGAAGGAAGAAAAGGTTGAGTAAGTTAGGTTTTTCCCCAGTGTACGTGGCTACCTACCTTGCCACCATTATATATAGAAAATACGTTTCACTGCTGTCCATGTATTCAAATAGCTTGGGGGAAAGCTCTGTTCATATTCCTGATTGGGTCAAATCCTCTTTTTACACGAAGGAATCCTATGGGTCAATGTTAGTTACCACAGTCAGCCTTTTCCCATCCTGTCCAAGTGTGCAGGGTCAGGCCTAGCTTACATAGCCCTGTAATCCCACCCCTTGTATATTTTTTTCAGTGTGGGCAAGAGGAACTGAACTTATCACACAGCTGGTTCTGTTGTGGTAAGTGGATGACTTAATTTAACCTAACGGGGTCAAGTCAATACGCTCTTCTGGGAATACCTCTTGCCATTTGACATGTCATTCCTTGTCAACAGCCAGCTGAACATAAAATGCACTACAGACTAGAAATGGCATTGCATGTCCAGAACGCCAGTGGAAAGGCCAGTGTCCTCATGGAATCTAAAGAAGCTGAATCTCCTGAACAAAATAATTTCACAATTTGGCACAGAATCTGAAAATGCCAAATGATGATGATGATGTACATAAATACGTAAAATTACACCAAAATGCAGAAAAACACATGGGAGCTGATTCTAGTAATTCAGTGAAATTCTGCAGGCAGTTACTGTTCTGAAGTACACAGGTTTTCCCAGTATCAAGATCTCCTCTCGTTCATGTCTCTACATTCATTAAATATTGAGCCTGTACATGTTTTATCAATTGACACCAAGAAATGGATAAAACATGGCCACTTCTGTTGCAGTTTTTCGTACCTGGCCTCTAATACTGCTTTTCTTCCTCTACAGCGTTAATATACTGAATAAATGTTCCTTTCTATTCCATCCCTCCCAACCTCCTGCCTCCTTTAATCTACTGTGAATAAGCTAGTATATACATTACATGGATGTAGATATGTGAGAAAATGCTGTGCAAATATCACTGCTCTGATGGGATTAATCTGCATTGTCTGCTCGTTCCCGTTTTTGTTAATAGCCTCCCATGGTCATCTAATGACATTGTGCAGAGGCTTGCTTTACAAAAATGCTGGAGAATTCTGCTCTAGCCAAGGGTCACGCTCTGGGAATGAATTGCATCTGCTCATCACTCCCAGATAACAAAGCTAGAATGTACTGGATTTTCGTTTCCAAGCTTTATACCAGCTTGACAGACGTGCAGTTTATCGCCCTGACTGTCATTTTAGGATTTGTTTCATTTTACCCACTGAAGAGCTGATCTGTGTTTCCGTGGAGCCCCTGGCATGAAAATTAATGGAATCATCCAGCCTTATGAAACACAAAAGATCATTACGGAAGTCCATGTTCAGGTGGCACCGTCTCTTGTGTCACTCTTCGTACCTGGTGTGGCAACAGGGAGTTCCTGGAAGAGGCTCTTTGGACAAAGTTGTAGAAATAATAATTACATCCATCACCTAAATTTTGTACAAAATGTGCAAGATACAAGTTCTAGAAATAATAATTACTGTACATCCATCACCTAAATTTTGTACAAAATGTGCAAGATAACTAACTTGTCTACAGAGGGGGTATAGCAAGTGTGAAGTGGTGTGGCAGACTCACTGTTAAACCTGAACTTGGGAGACCTGGGTTCAAGTTTCTATTCAGTCATTTTGCTCATTTGAGTGGCAAAATACTTCGGAGGTATATTTGATGCATGTCATATTGTCTGTGTTCTAGGTTGCTGGGTTGTATACCTTTCCTCATTGTGTCCTATTTCTTCCTGTGGTGTTTACCTCCCTTCAGATCTGGAAGAGTTGCCTGGTATCTCATCTTCTATTGCCTTTTCCAGGCACTCTATACAGTAAGTGGATCAATGCCGAAATCTGTTATCTCTGTAACAACGAATGCTATATCATTGGTGACGTTCCTCCATATCAGCACATCAGAATTACCTCTGAAATAAGCAGACACACCTTTTAAATAGTAATATATCAGTAAGTGTGCCTTTCTGGCACAGTTTGATTAATTCAGGACCAAGAAAACCCAAATCCTAACCAAGCCACTTAATGCAGTGTCCCTGGGCATCGTCTTCTGAAAAGTATATGTCTAATGTCACATTGCAATAAGTCTGCAGTAGCTTGGAAAGACACAAATAGTGCTTACAGTAAGAGTGTCGTCTCTGCAGGATCAGTATCTGTAGTTTCGGTCATTCGCAGCCTGAAAATATTAAATCACCACCACTGCCTCAGAAATATGCGTTTTCATGGTGTATTACCAGAACTGTCTATTAGACAGAACTAGATAATGTGCTACTATAGCATTTCTGTGCTCGTATTTTTCAGCATAGCAGGGTGGGAGAGACTTGGAACCAATTCCCCGAGGATCCTGTGGTCCTGCTGTATAGATCTGCTGGCTCAGTTGGGGGATATATATGCTTGTGGTACAATTTTTCAGACATATGAAATGCAGAGAGTGTTCCCTCCAGCGGCTGCTCAGCATTCTGTTGACATCTTTCAAAGAGGATGCCTGAGGTGCAACCGTTAAAGACTCTCTAAAGTTCCCTTGGCTTTTTATACTGCACAGTAATCATCGGCTTTTAGAAAGTAAGGAAGCGTTTGTGTTTCTTTGTTCACGTGAGGTATTTACAGTACCCTGTTTCTTAGTCAGAAAGGTCAGGAAACGACAAGGCCTTCCTTGCAGTGATTTTTCTCTTCGAGAAGAAAGGTGCCCTCCACCCTTGGGAAATGTTATTCATTATTCAATACAAAGATAATTATACATTTATGACTAACCCCCTCCCCCAGCCTAGGTCCGTGTCTCTCCTGCTGCCTGTTCAGAAACTCAGGCTAGAAACGGACGTTAGAGATTGGCTGGAGCTAGAGCTAAAAGCCCAAGTCCAGCTTCTGGCAATGTCTAACGTACCACAGGGCTGACTGGTGCCATCTTTACACGTTTGTGAAATCGGACTTTAAAGGAATCCCATGCTCAGGTCCTGAAGACTGATTTCCAAACCAAGCAAGCTAACTCTTGCCATGACACTTAAATGCTTTTGGATGCTCGTGGGTTATCTCAAACATCTGTGTCAAGTCTCCGGCTTTTGCAAGGTAGGGGTGTGCCACTTCCAGCGTGGCCAGTCCCCTTGTTGGGGAAGCCCTTGGATTTTCCTGTCAGCTTGTTAAGATCAGCAGATAGAAAAAAAGAGGGAAGAAGTGTCAGGAAAACCCAAGAGCGTAATGAGTTTAAAACAATAACCATTGAACCGGGTAAAACCTTATGAAGAAGACAGGGTGGTTGTATGGTAAAAGCCTCAACTGGAGGTACCGTTTGTCTCTTGAATACAGTATTACTAGCGCAGAACATCACTGCAGAAACTTCTGCCTTATAAGACCCTTGCAGACCCTGCCGGTAAGCAGGGAAAGCTCGCAGGAACAAAATGTTTTGGATAACCCACAAGCAAGCTTTTTTCCATCTTGGGTCCTTCTTAAAGAGAAAGGTGGGGTAAAAATATTTTCAGTAAATAAATAGCCTCAGGGGCAGCTCCAGCTTTGCCACATGATAACTGGAGCACCATCATTAGCTGGAAAGCTGGCTGCTGAGGATGTAATCTAAAATTGGTGTCAGTGTGCCCTTTTCAAAACTGCATCACAGCTTTGCCTCATGTGAAACGACTACACTGTGAATGTGTAGTGGTGGCCCCTATTTCGTTGCATTTGTCAAACAGTTAAACCTCTCTCCTCAGTTTCTTTTAATTTTTGTTGGATACTGGGAGAAAAAAATGTAAGCCATAACTTCATCAGTATTCATAACACACATATATCTCTTGAAATGTCCAGTATAAAGTAATCCAAAGGACAGAAATGGTTACATGTCTCATCATTATAAACCAGTAGATGGTACAGCTGGGTACTTACATGTATTTTCTGGCTTAGTTCTTCCAGGTACCATATTCTGCTCTCACCATGTTTCTCACCACTGATCAGAGGCATCGCGATTCAGCAACAGCTTACAGTGAGTCTTAAATACAGTTTCTTCACTTGAAGTCCCTTAAGCTAGTGGTGGGTTGCTCCAGAGGTTTTTCTCACTTGCAAGTCACATAAGCCCTGTTCCAGGACAGTAATAACGAGGGACTTTAGGAATTGCAGACCCAAAACATATAGAAAACCATAATTGCCCATGACCATGTTCTATACTCTGCTGGAGATGTGGTCAGGATTCAGGTACTTATTTTCATATTGGAGGGAGTGTGAACTATGATGATGATGATGATGATGATGATGATGATGATGATGATGATGATGATGTTATTATTATTATTATTATTATTATTATTATTATTATTATTATTATTATTACCAGTAAGTATTATTAAGTATTATTGAAATTTTGGGAGATATTTTTAAAGAAATTGGACAGATTGCAAAAATAGCGGTAGAAGCTTCCCCAAAAAGTGCATTACTATCCATTTTTGATGAATGAGACTGGGCAAAAAAGGAATGGGTCACCCAGATTAGTGATTGCGGAAGATTGGAAATCTAAGCATATCTTTCAAATACGTGAGTGGTATAATGGAGTGTAGGAATCAGTCGTTAATGATAAGTGTATGTGTGATGTGTGATATTTGATGTGTGATATTAGAATTAAAAAGGGGGAATAATTTTCTTGATATGTGGCAAGATTTTTCGGATCTTCCGAAATATTGTTGAAAGGAGAGAGCCAGTTATGCAAACATGAGATAATGTCCTTTTAAATCAATTTGACTGAAATCAGATCCACCCTGACTTGTACATGTGTGTAATGTGTGCTTTAGTTTGCATGCATAGTAGACCATTTTGCCGTCCAGCTCCATATCACATGGCATATTCCACTTGAGGTTTCCTTAATCCTGGAAAGGAAAGAATGCTGTGATAAGAAGCAAGACTAACCATATAAAATAGGGAAGGCTGGTTCAAATGTAACAGCCAATAAACTGTTCATTTTAAATAAGTGATTTCTTCACCTGTCAGACCTCTTCGTCTCCTGCTTCCTCTTTTGGCATACTTTACCATCTACCTTGTATTGAAGGAATTCAGATTATGGTAGTTTCTTTCTCAGTACACAGAAACATGTGAAATGATTTGCCCAATCTCACCCATTCCCTTGGAAAAATAAAAAAAGAATGGTCTGGGTGCTTCTTGGTTCAAGGAAACGGAAGCATTTAGTTATTGTTCATGGTGTTGTTCTTTCTTATATATAGTATGGAGCTACATCTCTGTACCTCTTGTCTTCAGAGAACTGGAAATGCGAGGAGAGGGAAAGGTGGCTAACATAGGAAGGAACAAGGAAGGAAGGGAATCTCTTGAAGACTTTGAGAGGTGGAAAAATCCTCTAAGCTTAGTAGCAGGTACAGAGCATGCTCCCCATAAACACCCTGTGTGAAAGCTTGCAAGCTTGCATTTTTCTTACACCTTACGTTCTGGTGTTATGCAACCCATAGTTGGCCACCACTTCATCTGGACCAGCAAATTGTTGCTTCTGCTTGCCCTCAAAACAAGATGTGGTCTGAAAATAGTTTTGATTCTGCTTTGGAATAGTCTGGCAAACTATTGTTTGCCAGATTATTTCTGGCTATGGATTGCTACCAACCAGGAAGGGACCTGGAGCATGCAGGGAGAGAGAGACAGAGGTGGACAAAATACCCAGCTTGAGGCTTGCTCATTCGTTCGTTCGTTCGTTCGTTCGTTCGTTCGTTCATTCATTCATTCATTCATTCATTCATTCATTCATTCATTC